TTTTTTTTTTTTTTTTTTTATGTATGTGACCTAGTTATTAAACTCTTGTGATTTTTTTTAAGCGTCTGTGACCTCACTATTGCATTGTAATGATTTTTTTAAGCGTCTGTGACCTAGTTATTGAACTGTTGTGAGTTGTTTTTGGTATCTGTGACCTGGCTATTGAAATGTTGTGGGGTTTTTTTTTGGTATCTGTGATCTTATTATTGAGCTGTGACTTTGAAATTCATAATTTGTAACTTAAAAAAAAAATTTGTGACCTTAATTTTTTTGATCTGTGATCTCGAAATAATCTGTGACCTATAAAATTTTAAATCTGGAACCTCGACATAATCTACGATCTACAAAAAAATTTATCTGTGATCTCGAAATAACCCGTGACCTACAGATTTTTTGATCTGTGACCTCGAAAAAGTCGTCGGATCGGAGCAGTCGCCGGAATTAAAGTGCTTGGAGTAGTCGCCGGTCGTCGGAGTAGTAGTCGGAGCAATGTGGGGTGGGGGTGGGGTGGGTGGGGTGGGGTGGGTTAATTTTATTATATTAAAGTTAAATATTTAATTTAATATAATAATTTTGAAATGTAATTAATTAATTCAAGAAAAACCTGATTTTTGTAATTGTAAACTTTGGGGCCTGATTTTTAATTTTGGAATAGTAAACATTTGAGCTGTAAATTTTTCCCAAAAAAAATTAGGTCTTTGCATTTGATTGGACTGAAATTATTATTTAATTTATTTGGGTCTCTGCTTTTCAATTGACCAGACCCAAATCAATTATATATATGGTCTAGGGGTCCGTTAAATTCACCGCAATTCCATTTCCTTTTTTTACAAATTTACACGGTTCCACCACTTCCACCAACACCCGCCCACGGTGACGCCTCCACCAGTGCCGGATGACTCGAGTATCAGAAGCCGAAAGGTCGGAAACAGGTTGTTAGTACTGCCGATTGCCGCCGTGACATTGTGACTGTGACTTTGAGCCCGTGAGTTTTCTAACTCTTTTTTTTTTCTTTCTGTTTTGGTGTTATTTTTTTTTTTATGAGTTATGATTATCCTTACTTAAAAATCAAGATTTATGTTCTATGAGTGAATTGACAATTTAGCATTGAAATGAGAATTTGATTGTGAATTTGTGATTTAGGATAAATAATTTATGTTGCACTATCATTGAATTATAAATTTTAATTTATCATTTATGAGTTTTAATTTGTGATTTGGGATCATTGAATTATGAATATTCTTAATTATTAAATTATGAATTATCCTTAATCATTGAATTACAGAAGAAGCCAAATTGCCAATATGCTATGAGTTTTTAATCAATTTTAACCTCATAGCATTTTTAATTTATCATGTTGGGCTTAATTCAGTAATGCGTACTCTGTTTTTTAATTAATTGTAATTAAAAAATAAATCAAGACATTTTGCTATTGAAAAATAATTCGAGTGATAATTCGTTATATTATTCTTCTTCTAGCCATCCATCTCTCTATCTATTTCGCATTTGATAAACGATCTCGCTATTGCGATCGTTGAAGATTGACAGTTGATGGTGGACGACGTCGACCACCCTAACCGAGTTCCTTTTTTGGATTTACCGCTGTTTTCAAATAAATTCAAAGTACTCGTAACTTTTCACAATTTCCCGAAAAATTAGCCAATCCAATAGTTTCTCGAGAGATAGGATGGATTTCAGCTTGAAAGGTCGCCAAATGGCCGTGGCCATGCTACCGAAGGAGTTGGTGGTCGATAATCTTTCTTCTTTTCTTTTGCTTTGTTTGCTTGAATTTGTAGGATCTTGTTGCTTATTGTGAAACAACATTTACAAGATGGTAGCTCGTTTGAGCATATTAATCTTTTTTTTTTAATCTTAGCCCCTGTGTGGTCCTCATTAAATTTATAATACATTTTTATTTCTATTTTTTCAATCACACACTCTCCAATAAAAAAACATATTATGCATAAACCAAAAAAAATTCATTCTTTTTCAACTACACATTTTTCAAAAAATACTATTCCAACAATTATAATATCAAATAATGGGGACCAAACGAGGATTTAATCAGATCAAATTTCTAATTTGAGTTTAATGAGTTTTAATATCATATTAAAACTTGAGTTCACTTTAAAATATTAGCCTTATCAAGATGAATAACTCAAATATTTATATATTATTCTATATTTCGTTAATTAATCGATATATAATTTTATTCCTTAATAGGTCCCAAGTAGATCACCGCTTGTGGAATTGGCCCACATTAACGAGATGTAATTGTTGATGCTGCGATAATGGTAGAGAATTTTCTTGCAGTGTGTAAAAAGTATTATTCTACCATTCTTTCGAGTCATCTTTTGAGTGACATCTTTGATTGTAGATGGCAACTGTTGGATTTTATACGTAATAATAGAAATATGAAAGAAAGAAATCAACACAAAAATTTAACGTGGCTCGGTAATGTGTCTACATCCACAACCGTTCCGTTTGATGCGCTCTGCTCCGATATCTACTTATTCCTTTCAATAAACCCGTATTCCAATTTATATGAATCACATACACAACAGCAACCTTATCATCCACATCAGAATCACATGCATAACTGAAACTAACTCAAGAGATTGTTCAATGCCATGTTTTGGGGTAACAGTAGAAAGAGCAGTTTACAATATAGGGGCCATCTTAAATTTGCATTCCTTCCATTTACACACAGAATACAGCTTGACAGCTTCACAACGTGACAAAAACATAAGAGAATATGTGATTGAAAATAAGAGAGGGTAAAATTTATTTTTAAAAAAAATTGGTGATTAAACAACGGCTTAATAGGAAATTATTTTTATAAATTTTTTATCAAATTTTACTAAAAATATGATTTTTAACAAATCCTAAGAGGGTTAAATGTACACTAAATGATTGTATTCTTTTAAAAACTTGTATAGACTTTTTTAAGTGCATGACTTTTGTGGATTTTATGAACAGACTTTGACTAAAACATTTTAAACTTTTAAAACTTTTCATCATGCAAGTTCATTATATACATGGAAAATTATAATTTTTCTTACTATCTAATTTATATTTTCGAGAACCATGATATCCACAAAATTTTCTTGGGTAAAGTCACTAGTCAGAATCGAGTCATTCAATTTTGATGTAAATAAAATAATAATAAAAAACTTTTACATCAATTTCTAAGAATATAACCATAAAATTTTCATGAAAGTAACATAAATTTTAAGAACACAGCCAAAAAAAAAAAAAAAAANCATAAAATTTTCATGAAAGTAACATAAATTTTAAGAACACAGAAAAAAAAAAAAAAAAAAAAAGATTGATTATATGGAATTCTACGTTTTGAAAAAATTGCACGTAATTTCAATTCAAAAAATAATTATGTACGTATAGAATAATCATAAATTGATTACGGTAAATGAATTGAAGAGTGATGAAAAAAATCTTAGAATTGAAAGAAAAAAAGACCTCTTTTTTTGCTTTAAAATCTTTACAAATCTCGGAGTATATGAGATATTTTCTTTGAAATTTGCTATTTATATTTTTTACCAAAATTTTTTAAGAAGTCCAATAAGTAGAGAATTCTCCAAAAATCACTGTCTATTTGAATACCTCATAAGTTATAGAGTCTTCTAAAACATTTCAATTGAATACCCTGTGACTTTTAGAAATTTTTTAAATGTCTATAGATGTCCCAATTGAATATGCCTAAGCTAAAAAAAAAAAAAAAGATTGATTATATCGAATTCCACGTTTTGAAAAAATTGCACGTAATTTCAATTCAAAAAATAATTATGTACGTATAAAATAATTATAAATTGATTACAGTAAATGAATTGAAGAGTAAAAATCTTAGAATTGAAAGAAAAAAAGACGTTTTTCTTTTTGCTTTAAAATCTTTACAAATCTCGGAGTATATGAGATATTTTCTTTGAAATTTGCTATTTATAGTTTTTACCAAATTTTTTTCAGAAATCTAATAAGTAGAGAATTCTCCAAAAATCACTGTCTATTTGAATACCTCATAAGTTATAGAGTCTTGTAAAACATTTCAATTGAATACCCTGTGACTTTTAGAAATTTTTTAAATGTCTATACATGTCCCAATTGAATATGCCTAAGCTTTTAGAGTCTTTTGAAAGTTTCAATCAAATACACCTAAACTTTTTAAATTCTCAAAAGTCTTTGAAAGTCCCAAATGAATACGTCTCCATAATACTTCTTTTAAGCAGCATCCAACACCTTCGTGCCTACCGTAGCATAGATATTCTACCACATAAGTCCAATTTTTAAATAGTTCTGCTTGGCAAGTTTGACAGTTTGCCATTCGATCGTTCAAAAAAAAAATTGGCTTTCTATCTATTTTGTTTTTACAACACATCAAATGTCAAACAGTTTTTATTTTTAATGAGTGATAGATATATAGTTAGTTCATGGCCGGCCTCGATCCATCCCAGTTTTTCTATTTTATTTAATAAACGGTAGTTCCAACCTCGTCCCATTAGCATATATTCAATTCTCTCAAGGTGGAGTAAGAAAACACCTGGGGCTCAATTTGAAATAAAAAGAAAGTTCAATGACTAATTTTGTACAAAATAAAGTTTGGTTAAAAATTGAAACAACAATATACTAATAAATATTTAAACAGCAATAAATAAATAAATAAATAAAATATATGAAGAGGACTTGTTCGTCACTCCACCATTCTATAAAGGTTAACTCTTCCCCCAAAACCCTCATAGAACCCCAAGACTAATTCCATACGGGATAACAATGGCAACCCCAGAAACAACTCGCTCGCCTTGCCCCGATCGCATATTGGATGACCTAGGCGGCGCCTTTGGCATGGGCGCCGTGGGCGGATCGGCTGTCCACTTCCTGAGAGGCATCTACAACTCCCCCAAAGGCGAGCGAATCATTGGCGGCTCACAAGCCGTCCGTATGAACGCCCTCCGTACGGGCGGCGGCTTTGCAGCCTGGGGGGGTCTTTTCTCCGCTTTTGACTGTTCTATGGTATATCTAAGGCAAAAAGAGGATCCCTGGAATTCCATCTTCGCTGGTGCCGCCACAGGCGGATTCCTCCACATGCGCCAAGGCCTTGGCCCGGCTTCTCGCTCGGCTCTCGTCGGCGGCGTGTTTCTCGCGCTTATAGAGGGGGGTGGGATCATGTTAACTAAGGCCATGAGCGGCCCGCAGAATATGCCTATATTTGTTGAGGACTTTCCAGATGGGCTGCCCGCCTCCACGCCCCCCTGGTATGAACGGTGGTTCGGTGGTGGTGAGAAGGAGGAGAAGAAGAGTGGTGGAGCGAAGACCGAGATTTTGGAGAGCTTTGATTCGCCTACGCCACCTACCTTTGAGTTGAAGTGAAGATTCTTTTTCTACATATATATTTTATGTTGCATATATTTTTTAAGTTGGGTACTTGTGATTTGCTGTTATTTTGGACATGGAACTGGAATTTTAGGTTCTTACATTCAATTATAGATATCTTATTGCAGAATAAATATTTTGAACGTCCAAATTGACATATTTATCTAATCTTCTTACATAATTTTGTTGATGTTTAGCTACGAATTGGTCTCCATTATAAAACACGAAGAACATTAATTTCAGCTATTCACTCTAATTCTCATAATCATCCTCACTGAAATCATATCATATTATATTGGTGCAATGTGGTTCGGCCGCTTCAGGCCACGAGCAGCCTGTCACGTCCATGGCTTGAACCAGCCTCACACACGCGGTGTAATGGGCTGGCCATTGTAGGCCTTAATTTAAGAAAGTTGTTAACTCTTTCTGCCAAAAAATGTGGGCAATGTCGGGTCTTTAGGCGGATTGTGCTAGGCTTCTATTGAGCAGGTCGAGTTCAGCTTGGGTCGACTTGTTTCAACTAATGCATTACGCCATTGTCAATATCCTCACTCGAGGATCATATTGTTTACCGATTAAGGGCAAGGAAAAGGAATATTAGGAGACTTTTGAAACTTTACAGACTATTGCTTCCTTTACTGTCAAAACTCTTACTGTGGATAATTTGAGGAGAAAACAAATTTATATTGTTTGGTACTTCATGCATAAGAGATTTGTGCATATTCTGCATGTCTATGGAATGCCATTTTTGGTTCGTTTCGTCTGGAATCTTGCAGCTTTTCGGTAGTTCTTGTGGCGTTGGAAGTGCTCGTGTATGCATAATAGCGAGCATGGTAATGGCAGGAACTGGAGCTTGGTTCCCCATTTTCTGATGTGGTGGCTCTTTTTGGTTTGTTTTTTGCTGTTTTCTTCTGAATTAGGAATAATGATATTTAGCATCAATTTATATGACATTACGTAATAAGTTCAATTAAATGTGAAAATATGTGGTTCATTTAATGATAACAGTTAGTATCACCTAAACTAGTGTTACACACCAGTGATGCTAAATAACATTACTCTTTGAGTTAGATAGGGTCACACATATTTGAATAATGTCATTTGACACCATTCTATGTGACATTATGTAATATGTTTAATTAAAGATGAAATAATGTGATTCATTTAATTGTACCCTTTATTTAATGACACTTAGAGTCACCTAAGTGCAAATTGAATAAGGGAAACAGGGTTATGCCCTTGTTTAAAATCTTATTATTAATTTTTTTAATTTTTTAAGTTTTTGTGTTGCAATGGATATGAATCATTACATGCATAGTGCAAATTGAAGTAATTTTTAGTGGCTGAACGTTTTCTTCTTGTTTCAACTAATGCATTACGCCCTTGTCAATATCCTCACTCGAGGATCATATTGTTTACCGATTAAGGGCAAGGAAAAGGAATATTAGGAGACTTTTGAAACTTTACAGACTATTGCTTCCTTTAATGTCAAAACTCTTACTGTGGATAATTTAAGGAGAAAACAAATTTATATTGTTTGGTACTTCATGCACAAGAGATTTGTGCATATTCTGTATGTCTATGGAATGCCATTTTTGGTTCGTTTCGTCTGGAATCTTGCAGCTTTTCGGTAGTTCTTGTGGCGTTGGAAGTGCTCGTGTATGCATAATAGTGAGCATGGTAATGGCAGGAACTGTAGCTTGGTTCCCCATTTTCTGATGTGGTGGCTCTTTTTGGTTTGTTTTTTGCTGTTTTCTTCTGAATTAGGAATAATGATATCTAGCATCAATCTATATGACATTACGTAATAAGTTCAATTAAATGTGAAAATATGTGATTCATTTAATGATGGCATTTAGTATCATCTAAACTGATTTTACACACCAGTGATGCTAAATAACATTACTCTTTGAGTTAGATAGGGTCACACATATTTGAATAATGCTATTTAACACCATTCTATGTGACATTATGTAATATGTTTAATTAAAAGTGAAATAATGTGATTCATTTAATAGTACCCTTTATTTAATGACACTTAGAGTCACCTAAGTGCAAATTGAATAAGGGAAACAGGGTTATGCCCTTGTCTAAAATCTTATTATTAATTCTTTTTAATTTTTAATTTTTGTGTTGCAATGGATATGAGCCCCTGTTTGGCCTCCATTATTGTAGATTTTTAGGGGGTTGAAAATTTTTAGAATAGTGATTGATGGGAGATGTGTGGTTGAAAAGTTTTAGATTTGTTTGTATTATTATTTTATTTGATGAATGTATGGTTGAGATGAAGAGAGAGAAAAATTTAATGTAATGTAATGAGATATAATGGGGGCAAACACAGGCTGAATCATTACATGCATAGTGCAAATTGAAGTAATTTTTAGGAGTAGTGCTTGATGTACAATAATTTTGACATCATTGTTGACAACGTGCCACATGGCATGTTATCATTTGACAGTTTAAAAAACAATTCATTATTTCAACCAATACCTTTTTGCCACAATCAACATTGTCAATAATGTTGTACAAAAACATTGTACAAATAGCATAATTCT